CTAAACTAACCGTCCATGGCTCGTCCTGCATCACTTGAGTAGGAAGAACTCCTGGAGCGGGGGACCAGCTGAACTGATCTCGAAATTGTTCCGCCCAACGAGCCATACGGCGCTCCTTACTGTGTATCAGTGCACGTTCGCTGTCTCTGATTCTCACTGACGCCTGGTTTCCTGGGACCGGTGGTGCGGACCAGCTGGAACAACTTGCAGTAATTGCTTAATTCTCCTACCTCCATTTCTTGAGCCCGACTGGTCCGCCATCCCTCCTTGTCAGCACGCTGGCTCTGCTTAAGTTGGCGCCTGACTGTACGTCTACACTCATTGTGCTCAGAGCCAGCCGGGAGGTTTCTTCTGGATTCCGACTGGTTCGCCGACCTCTGAGATTTCAGTGACTGGTGCGGGTGACGATTAATAGTGCCACAAGCAGATGCTCCTGCGTCGTGCATGGCGGCCGGGATCCTATTCCACTAATGCTGGGTCATTAGGACAAAACAACGAAAGTTCGGTACGCAGTGCACCTTGTTAGATTTGCCTGACTGAGGGCTGAGACAGTTTCTCATTCGCCGATCGGAAGAGACGCTTAGTGCGCCCCCCCCGGTAAAGTTCATAGAGAAACGACAACGTTCCATGGCGTGATCAGAATCGATGCAGGTATTCCAGTATGAGCGGCAATCCAGGATGAAACCACGTCACCTGTAATTTATGGCAGTGTGATCAATTTGGGTCCATCGCTGGCCAGCTACACTAGTACACCAGTGGCACTTCGGCGCCTACTGTGTCGGAAATCAGTGCTACTAAGAAACAACTGATGTTCCGCACACAGTTGTAACAGACGCTCGATGTTTCAGTCTGTTCGGCGTCTGTTCGGCTCATAATTACCACTCAGCTTCTGAAGAGCTCAGACGCCCTATTTGTACGTTCATATCCCCTGAAAGTACTATAATCTCTGAGCTAGTAGCGCGTTCATTTCGTGACAGAATGTGTCCTTGGTAGCATTTGCACTGCAGTCGCTGGGAGCATAAGCAAAAATCACACAAATAGCGTTTTGTACTACTTCGTGAATCAGCGTTGGTCGATACGGTGAAACGAGTTGCACACAAATGGCTGTTAACCAGAATCCAACCAACCAACGATGGCTCAGCCTTGGAGCTTAGAATGATACCTACACCAGCTTGACCCGTGAGTGCTGCAACAGCGTCTCCGGATGCGCGCAAGCAATAGCGAGAGGACAGGACGGGTGCAGTTAATTCAACAGCCCCATTGGGATAATTGATCTTAGTTTCGGACCCACAACACACAATGCTCAGTATGTCCAAGGTGCGTGCGAGTGCAGCCTGTTGACCTGTTTGTCTTAGAGTGCGAACGTTGAACGTCGCCATGGAAACGAGACAGTGTGGCCTTATAAGGGACTGTTGCCGATACGCATCCGATGGATGTTATGGGAAGGTGTCTGCAGATGGTTCTACTCCAGTGGCACTTCGGTTGCTATCAATTAAGCTAAGAATTATAGAAGCGACGATAGTAATGGGGGTCGGAATGGGAGTAAGAGAAACAGCTGGAAAAGAAAGAAGAGAGGCGTCAGCAGTATCACGTTTTCGTTTATCCGCCCTGCTGTATGCAGCAGATAATGCGCCCCTTGATAATCTGCGCGACGGCCGATGCAGGATGAACCTTATGTTTGAAGAAAAATTCATGGTTGTATGTGTGCTGAGATATTGCCCGGGCGCCCATACCTAGACAGGAGGACGATTAGGGTCCACATCCAAAGCCTTTGACTCAAAAGCCTGTCCGCAAGGCAGCGGGGAGGTGACAATTATTTAGTTTTACAGAAATGGACGCCATCCCATTTTAGACCTCCAACCTGGAGGACCAAGAGATTGGGTCTGTCTGACCTCTCATGATCGACTAACCTGGTAGGAGTAGACCTCAAGTGGCGCGGAGGCACCACCCAAGATATCGCAATAGGTCAAGGAGGTACGCAAACCGTCGCACCACATTAAGGTCCACTCTCGTTCCTTTAATCCAGCGGGTTGTAGATATAGCCAATCAAAATGTATCCTAAGGCTCCTGAGACAGATAACCAGGAACATTTACTGGTTTTGGATGTTCAAGCCATTCAGCTATAAATGTGTGATATGAGTATATCATGCATCTCATAGTGTTGGAAGTTCTGGTCCGGTCACCTGGTTCTCCATCAAATACCACAAGATCTCATACGGCGCTTTGTCAAAGCCAATGCGACAGGCTGTAGGGTCACTGAACACTCATTTCTGTAACCAAAAATGGGTACCTAACGGTGGGCGTATGAACAACCTTGTTGACCACCGGCTTCTCTGTGGATTGCTACTGCACACAAGGAAGGCGAGTGAGCTACCCGCATGCCTACGGTTTCCGTTAATCGCCCCGCTGCCCTGGGGGTCAGGTCTTTATGACCAAAGGCTCGGGGTGGGTTCCTTTAAGTCAACCCTGTTCCTCGGCCTGGGCAACCAGGAAGATCTCTGCCCGCACAACACGTTAACCTTTTAAACCTATCAAAACCTTTTAACTATCTACTTATTTTCCCCTTCTTATTGTTGTTGTTAACTATGTGTTGTGTCACTGCCGATTGTATATTGGTCAGGTGTCGAATTATAATATAATATATGAATACTCCATCTTTTCTTTTGCAGCGTGCTTTTCGAAAAAGGTGATACTTGGGAATCTTTAGAGTCTGATGTATCGGAGAAGCACCATATTTCGATAACGAAGATTGCTTGCAACTCATTGATTTGTGAAAGCATGCTTTGGATCTGACATTAATTAAAAGTACTGAAAACATATTATGAATGGTGGGGCTTATGTTCTTCGCGTTCCTGTTTCGTGAGTCATTGTACTCGCGCATTATTGGCGCGGTAGATATGTGTTGGAGCAGTGGGAACGAGTCCACTACTTCTAATCGTGTGGGTAGGGTAATGTGTCACCTGTGAACCCCGGTTTAGGTGGGGTAAAGGGAGGTTGAGCTATCAAGTCTAGATTACAATTGACTTGGCGCTGGGCTAATTGGGTCAGCTGGAGAAATTGCAGAAATAACGGGAGCATATGGTTGGCTTCTGCCAGATATGTAGGGAGTGCGAATGTCCGCAGTTCCATTCAAAAATCCACTGAAAATGGATTGTGGAGAGATGTAACCTGAGAGGATTCATATGTATGGGATGGAGTAGGTAGTGGCATAACTCGCTTGACAAATTTTTTCCTATTAGCATTGTCTTGCTAATGACTATTTCATAGTACGGGATGATGCATGTGTATCCAGTAGATATTTACTTTTGGATTTAATCGGTTCAGCACATCGCCTCTTATGATTGTAGCAGGGTGATTCACCACTCATGAGTTTCTGCCAACCCTCCGTGGTCACCCAAGCAAGTGAAATTAGCTTTGATCTGATAGGCTTGGAGCACCCAGAGGGTTATCACGTAGGGTAAGTACCGATTGGAATGCCCTGCCTTCTTAGGGTTAGAGCCAACCTAACCCGAGTAGAATCTTGTTTTTGGAAACCCGAAAGCAGACGGCGTCACGGAAGTTTTGTTCCAAACTTTTCACTGTGCCACAAAATGTAAATAATCCACATGTTCCAAATCGAGTGTACAACTGACTACAGGTGGGTATACACACACGGATCTTGTGTTTGTTTTGTGTAACAGAACGTTGGTCTTATTACCTGGTCCACACAACGTACAACGCGTGTGGAAAACCCACCTGCTATAAACGTCACACATGTTTCGCCTATGACACCCAGCACTTTTGTGCTATTAACAATTGCTTTGTCCGGTTTTTTGTTCAGTTTGCCGATACACACTACTAACCAGTATCGCGTGTTCTGACAATATCACACTATACTGGCTAAGAGTTGGTGGGAGCCCATCAGAATTTCTCCCTCCTTGCGCGACAATAAATTGCTAGACTTCGTGTTGGCACCGTAAGTTAAGGTGTATGAAGTGCGATTTTCCGTCTTTGGTTTGGAGCTACGACTCCCCCTTCACATTCTTCGCCTTTAATATAATTATCCATTTCTATTTTCCTACCTTGATTTACAGTGTTTGGCTTACATTTTCTGTTGTTTATTCCAGTCGCTTTTTTCTTTTCTTCCCTTTTAAAAGACGTGACTGGTATTCGGCGCCAGTGGCGCGTCTTTCGTCGTCTAGTCGGCCTACCTGTTTGATTTGTACCTGGTGCTTACTTACCTGTGAACTAATGGTTGGTGATGACACAGGGTAGTGAAATCTGTCTCGCTGATGCTGCCTTATCTTTGCGTGATAGACAGCTGTTTGTGACGATGTCTTGGTGACAAGGCGTTGGCGCCTTGACCCTAAACGTTTACTCATGTCATTATGGTTTTACATCACGTCCCCCGTTTCTCCCACTTAATATTTTTCGTTCCGTGGGTACCTGTAATTGCACGGCAGCGAAGCATCAGTTTAAATGGCTGATGTACTGTTGCTGCTGTCGTTGACGATGTGGGTGATTGTATGTCGCCCATCAGAAAACACTGCACTCCACAACCGCTTTCGAACTCACTTGATCTCATCAGGTATAGTAAATAAGTTTTCGAGATTGCGCATTGCAATGCATTCATACAACTTCTTCATAATGATCTCTTGCTCAGTCATTAGACGTTATGCAAAGCGTTGCCCACTGTGATTCGACCGCTTTACGGTAGAGCTCTCGGTTAACGTTCTAAAGATCCCGCGTTGGGGTGCCTCTCTCTCTACCCGTTAAGAACTAGTTGCTTCCAAACCGGTCTTGAAGCACAGAATTTTCTAACGGTACCACCGCTTTTCTTTTAATTTCGTCAGCCCCCTGCAGAACGCCACCTCACAAGATCTCTTATCAACTGCGGTGAGTCCGGTCTTCTAGGACAGATAAGAGACCTGCTTTCTACAGTTAATTAATCTGTGCGCTTTACCGTATCGTGCTAGGGCTGCTGATTTTTTTGGTCAGATGAAGTTCTTCCTTGTCCTTTAGCTAGTCTACGAGTTGCATCGCCCTTGGATCATTTCGTTGCACAATGGGTACCATTTCAGATGGTAGTTTCACATTCGCTAATCTTTGCGCTCTCTGTAGACGAAATAATAAAAAGAAAATTGCTTATTGAAGGAGAGAGTGGTAACGATGACAGAAGACTGACACTTCTGTTAAAAAATTATCTTCGTTGGGTTGCTTCTGAGGACATTGATGGATCCGAGTAAACTTCCTTTCCCTATATGGGTGTAGCTTTGAGACCTTTCAGGCACTCATTGGTAGCGTTAACCAGTGCGAAAATGCCATGGAACAATCTCATCTTGTGCTTCTGATGAACGAAGAACAGCAAAAGCAATATTCGCAACTTCAGGAGGACATCAGTAATCAGTTATCTTTTCCTTCGTAGTTTAGAAACTGAGATGGAAAATGCCAAAGTTCTCATCGAGGAACGGAAGGAGGAATTGAGGACAGCCAAGATCATCCGACGCAACCGGCGAGGTACTCCTTTTATGTTAGACACACTTTTCGCAGAATACGACGGTCTTGCACACATAATCAATGAACATCCAGAACGAAACGAGACGCTAAGGCAAGTTAGTTGGTTTGTTTTATTTACGGTTTGTGGCATCTTTCTACCATGTTCCCCCAATGTATGTCAGTTTACACCGCCGTGAGTGTCAGTTGCATCTGACAGGCTTTCGTCCGCTTCTCGTATCCGCACAGTGCTATTCCCATGCTCTTTTGTGCCACGGTTTTCGTATATTTAATGCATTCCTCATTTCGTGCAGAGGCTTTTGGTAAAGGCGCCACCGCTTCAGCTCGATTGTCGTATACTTTATCGGATCGTTCAGGTCAAATCAAAGTGGTGCCGTTAAGTCATATATTTAGATGTCAAAACCGAATGTACTTACGCCAATGACTTCATCATCACGTCTCAGCACAGCCAGTATGGAATTCACTATAGCGGTCCAGATAAAAAGGGAAGAGAATATAATGATGCAAATCGGGATTTTGGCTTGTTTATAGTTTCTTTGTGCCATCTCTTTATCACATCCGGATTTTCCCAGTTGAAACTCATTTTGGTAAACAGAACATTGAGTTAGGAGGTCGATTTTTAGATAAAATCCGGGATACGTTCTTTAAAAAACTTTACACTAGTAGTCCGTTTACGCTTATCCACTCTGCCGTATGCAGCAGTTAAGACGGTCCTTTTCAGACTGCGCGACAACCGATGTAGGATGTAGTTGAAATTTGATGAAATAGTAATATTTGTACGTAGGCTAGGATATTGTCAGGAGCCTAAACCTAGACACGAGAACGATTAAGGTCTTCAACAAAACCCTTTGGCCTATCCGCAAACCAGCGGAGAACTGGTAACGACTCGATATTTTTACAGAAATAGACGCCATCCCGTTTCTAACCCCTAATATCGAGACTTTGCAGGTCACTTTCGCATGTACACCGGACCATACAAGCAGCAGGTTAATCTCCATGTTTTAAATCTAATAGCCAACAGGGACATTGGGTCTCTTCGCAGTCTCTGGAACTTATTGATGCTCGCCACCACATTCCCACGGGAGACGAACAATGAGACTCGCATAGACTTCAGGGCAATACTGCCTGCTAGTGTGAAGAGAGACCGCAAATCTTGGTGGTCTTAGCTTACGTCAGAGATGGAAGTGGCCGCTGCCCTTGGTAACCATCGTAGTTATTCCTTTTGATACGGGAAACGGGCAGCAGGAGACCTGTTGTTGGTGAAGCTCTTTGTGATTGATGTGGATAGCCAATCAAAACGTTTAGAGCGTTGTGCTGAGCACTTTGAGAGGCAATTTAATCGGTCAGAGTTGTCAGGTTTCTTGCCAGCCGCTGATCGTCCTGCTCCCTGAACTGTTCCTTTGGATCCACCCTCTCGCTCAAAAGTCGAACGTGAGATCGGACTGCTGAAGTTGAATAAGGCCGTACTGGTCGAAAGGCTTCCCTCAGCCATCTTTAAATTCAGGAGACCTGCTCTTGTGGATGGTATACACGAGTTACTAGTGAAGCTGTGGGAGCAGAAAAGTGTCCAAACCGACTGGAGCCGCTCCGTTATTGTCCTGATCTTTAAGGATGATTCACTTTCAAAATGTGGCAATCATAGTGGAATGAGTCGGGTCTCCATCGCCTCCTAATTACTTACTTCTGTCTTCCTTCACAGACCAACCGACACTCGTGCAATCGAGATTCGTAAGGTGCGAGCCGCGTTTCGTCGAGGTCGGGGCTGCATCGAACACATCTTCACTTCACGTCAACCGTTGGAGCACCGCTACATCTATTGGTGGCCCACCGTAGTCGTGTTCCTCAACATCAAAGGTGCCTTCACTTCGGTTGATCGATGTGCCCTTTGGGGTTGTCTACTCAGTAACGATGTGCTCGAGATATATGTATACATTATCCGAACGATTTACGCGCGTGGCACGGGCAGAGTGATGGCTCATGGCAATCTCTCCCTGCCCTTCGATACCTAATGCGGTGTGGGACTAAGATGCCCGCTGTCACCTTTCCTCTTCAACCTGGCCATTGGCAAAGTCATTTAAATCGCGTTCACTGGACGCGACTTAGAAGGATTGGAGCTGCTCCAAAGTACACTACCTCTTGGCTTGGAGTAAGGTGACAATATTGCCTTCATCTGTGACAGCCTCCAAACGTGTCAAGCTGCATTGGACAGATTAGTGCTGGCTATCGGCCGTTTCGGATTTTGTTTTGCACAATCGAACTGCAAAGGTTTCCTCCACGATTGGCATGGACCGCCTCCTGCACTGACTCTTGGTCGAGATCAGCTAGAAATCGTTCCAAAATGTAACCACCTGGCAGATGTATCAGCGCCATTGTGATGGAAGATGAAGTTTCAGGCGTTTTCGGTAGCCTTCGGCACCTACGCGACGTCGCTCCTTCTCTTTCTCCCTCCCTCACTCTCTCTGAAGAGTAGAATTTACAATGCAGCCGTATGTTCAACCTTATTGTACGGTTGTGAAACGACAGACATAAAGTGGCTAGTTACGTTCGACGACCGGTGACTTCGCAGTGTGGATCATATCTGGGGGAACACAAGGGGAGCAATCATTGTGTTCGGCGTCTTGTTTATGGCACAGGAAAAGGAAATGAACCGCTCAGCATCGTTATTTCACGCACCAGACTCCGAGGGCTGAGACACGTATTGCACTTACCAACACACCGACTCCCGGGACATGCGTCGTTTGCCTACCTTGGGCGTGGATGGCAAAAGGGGATGAGAGGACAAACGATGACTTGGTCGAGAGGAATGAAGGTCCTCACTTCGAAGCTGACCTCGGTTGGAGTGTCTCGGCTCCCTATTTGAGGCCCGAAAGACAATGAACATGTTTGGCTGGGTACACTTGCTGACATGGCTAGAAAACAACCTCAGGGGCGTTTTATGTGAGTTTCTTTGCTCTCCTCCTCTCGCTTTGCCTCCCCCTCTAACCGACGTCTCATTTCCAAGGCTAATATAACTTTACGGCACAAAAGCTGGCTGCTAGCTCTCTGAAACGATGTCTATCGGTTACTAGTTGCTAAGCTGACCTCCCACGTTTGTGTTTTTCTTCTGCTTATGTGTTACGGCACAATAGCTAAGCTGTTTTCTACCTGTTGCTGGCGTGTACCATGAAATAATAATTCTGGAGACTGAGTTTGTTTAAACATTTACCAAACTCGTATGAGTTGTTCCTTCCAGGCTTGTCGATTGTTAGACACTGCAGTCTGCCAATTCTACTATTGGTCGATATATATATATATATATATATATATATATATATATATATATATATATATATATATGTTTGGCGGCATCCGGTTTCGGATTTGCCTGTCACTGTGGCCAGCCACAGGATGCCTGCGCCTACATAGGGACCATGGATGGCTTGCGCTGCACCATCCACAGCTCCACATCACACACCCCATATCCAGTGTAAACCCAAAGGAATAAGACCGGGAGGCATGCGGATGGGAACCACGTTTCATCAATGGAGCCGGCCCACACTCCTTCACAGGCAAACGCAAGCACACTGTATTTGGGAATCAACCGCACACAAGGCGGTGGCTGAACCGTTGTCCGCTCCACATGGAACCACTCTTCGAGCCTAACACGGCCACAAGGACCGTGCGCCCTATCCCCGACCAACTGTCTCCTGGAGCCAGTATGGACGAGATAGTGGGTAATAGACAGGTAGACACCTTGTCAGCATGCACATCAAGCGCAGCCGCACCGGGAATATCAAAATATCGTTTGGCTTGTAGAAAACCATGATGTGGTGTTTAAGCATCCGAGCCGTTATTTCAGATCTGTTCTTCATATACTGCAAAGTGATCCTCTTGCTTGTCTTTGGCATCGACCTTTGTTTGTGGGCTTGTAGTTTAAATACTAGCTACTAATCTTTCGAATTATTAGCACGCATACGGTCACACAACACTCCGATCTTCTCGCCGTTGGGATGATTTCACTTGCGATTAATCTCAACATGGCAACAACTAACTTTCCTCCATGTTTGTTTGCATAGAGATGTTTACCCCCGTGGTGTCAACTACAGGCCACCGCTAAACCATCTCCACGCTTGGGCTATTACCCGTTGTTGTGTTTCCGCTGACAGTACGGATAACCGATGCAACCACTTTCCAAATCAGAATGCAAAGGCCTCTGGCGGAACTTGTATGCAGTACTCAGAAGACAAAATGTACAGCCAAAATATTGGGTCGAAACAATTAGTTCATGAGGGGAAAGCCCTGATTGAAAGTTCTTGATTATAGCAAGTGCTAGATGCGCAAAACTCGCTTGTTGGCTTAGCAAGTAGTGTGCTTACTGGAGGGCTTCAAGGGAGGTCATTCTGATTGGTCCACTTCAAGGTAAAACGATGCCATTAGCTTACTCCGATTGGTTAGCCAATCGGCTACAGGCGGCATACAACAAATCTTCTCCGGGCTGCTCCAGACAGAGAGAGAGCTTCGATAGCTGCTATGGACGGGCTCCGGTAACACCTCTCTCGCGAAAAGTGACGTACGACTTCCTCCTGGGGTCCAGCTACATTCTGACCACAGACCTCCGTATCCGATCAGTCCGTCGTGGCTGCAAGCTCGTTCCTTTTGTGGTCACAGGATAAGGCTCATTAAGTGGCTCCTGACTTCCATGGTGTATGTCGAAATTGTTCAGCAGAATATCCAGTGGCAGCGATCGTTCCCTGGTAGCTATCTACATGCTGGTAGGCGGCAGCTGATTTGCATGTCTGGTTCAAATCATAGAACCCACTCGAACTTTATACCGCACTTGTCCAAGTCTGCAGTCGATCCAGCTATGGACGGGCTCTGGTAACACCTGTCAGTTCGGATAAAGCATGACAGCTGATGGGCACCGATACTCACAATCGCATCGAGAAATATCATGTCTGGGTGAAGAACAAACTATTTGTTTGCGAACGGGTTGACTACAACTAGCAGAACAGCTGCGTTTTTCGGTTGAACGCAGAGCATCAAACGTCTGCATGAGGAAACACATTGCGCTCCGTGGGATGATTTCGAAGTTGATCATCTGCGCAAACGGAAATG